CGTTTAAGTAATTCAACCCCTAAATGTCCTGTAAGTGAACAGTTTCTGAATGGTCTGTATGGAAAGTGCCCAAGAAGAGGTAAAACAGTGTTTGTTGAATACAAAGGTGGATAGAACAGTATTAACAGGTTATGCCGAAATCTGAATCTTTGTGAAAAAGGATATTTGTAGTATGTTGACAAGGTTATTCAGAAACAAAACGTGTAACTAGAAGACAGCAGAGGGAGCTGTCCAAGGCATAAAGAAGATATGAGTGCCTTCCTGGAAAAAATAGAAGAAAATTCATGTTAGGTCTGTTCATATGACTGACAATTGATTCTGACATTATTATACTATATCAGAATTTCCTCCATCTTGGTTATCATACTGTGCAAAACAGACATGGATGTGGCCCACATTAACCAAGCTTCATCTTTCCAGTGTGCTTTGCAATACAGGTGGTATTACATACAGTACATAATATATGAGAACAAAATGAGTCATATGGAATATGGACAGATGGGACAACAAGGGTATAGAGGTCCATGCCAACCAATTAGATGTCACATTTCAGGCTTGTAAAGTTGGCCATGTAATGAGTGTTTAACCCACCTGTTTATGGCCAGGTTAGACATTTAGAGCTTTGGTCACCTATCCATCCATTCCAGGTGGGGCAGATGATCATACAGGTTAAAACTGAGAAGGAAAATGGTTAGGTCTATCTCTAGCCATCTGTTGACAGTTTAACCTAAGAGAGGTTGGATGATTTTGAAATATCTAGAAAATAAAACCATGGTCACCTTAAGTGTATATATTTATTTTAATAATGGTGTTTAGATATATGCATTGTGCATAGAATAGGGAGATTGGTATTTTTCTATGTAGGAAGCATAATGTGGGGACCTGCAGTGGCCTTCGGGGGCTCATGTCCTGTATAGGTTGGGTCTGTTTGGTTTTTATGAAACGGTGGACAATTGTCAATGGTGGGAACCCCAGGTTTTATGCCTGTCGCCGGTAAAGGTATTCTCATTAGAAGCACTTGCCTCATTTGTTCCAGTGCCAACTGCCAGTGCTTGGATTGCTCTTCTCTTTCTGTCCTGGTGACTACAGCAAGAAACCAATAGTATTAAAGCCCTTATAGAAGACTTAAAATGCAATGGAAGCCAAAACTTTTTTTACATTTTGGATAAAGAGGATATTGATTAGAACACCTGTCAGGTTTGTAATGCTCTCTGTATCCCCATTAGGGAGATTCACCCCCTGTATTTTTACTGGTGACCGTTATCACTGAAAGAAAATCTCACATTTTGGGCTGTCATCAGAACTGAAATATATGGAAAATCTTTGAGTGGGGACACTAGTTCTGGTAACCAGCTGCTGACCACCAGGGATTTCCCTCTCTCTGGAGGGATTTCCCTTTCACTTCATTCTGTTGCTATCGCATAGTAATTCTCCTCTTCTCCCCCTCCAGTCTGGCAGCAACCAACTGTAAAGTAGGGTATATGTGAGACAAATTTAGTTAATCAGGATCCGTCCAATCAGCTGTTGGCACCCTTCTGCATGGCATCCTTGATCAGCTGATCGAAGGAGACGGTTGAAAGATTCTCAGCCAAACAGAGCTGCAGACAATCAGAGGAGGATTTGTACATCAACTCTTGTAAGCATTGATGGAGGGATCTGTCCTATTGTTTTCATTTAGCCCACGGGTTGAACCAAAAAAATAGAAACGTGTATACCTGGCATAAGAGTACTTTTTTTGCTTGCTCGGAGATGGGCTTTAGGGTTTTTTTTTTTTTACTAATGCATAATATAACTAAGTATCTTTTAAATCAACAGAGACTACAGACTTAATACAGTTCCACAATGCTGCATATGACCATTTTTACTTACCAGAAAACAAAAATGACTAAACCATTGGCAGACCTATATGACTTTATTATGTATACTGTATAGCATTGTTTCATAGCCTTTGAAAAAGCTACCACAGTATAGAGGTACTTGTAGGTCACACAACATTTTATGTTTGTGATTTTGAATGACTAGTTTCCCTAAATTCTGTGTTCCAATATTTACAGCAGTCAAGGTTTTCTTCATACGTGAAATGGATTCCTTTATGTTATGAAGGACACCACAGCTCCCTTTTTACAATCTGTATGGATTGCTATGCTATTATTTCACATTTCCAGGATAAAATCAATTAAAGCTATGACTGCTGAATGATGTTTACACAAAAAGTCGAGGCTAAAATTTAGATATACACCTTGAAGAAAAATATGAATAAACCATTTTCTGACATTTTAAAGGGGAAGGTAAACTAGGGATTTATGTATAAAATGTAGTATAAAGGAAAATGTCAGCGTAATCCATATCAAGCAATTACTTTCATGCTCTGGTGCCCATCAGAAATACAAATGTGATGAGAAGCATATTTTGAATGGCTTAAAGCCCACCTCTACTCTTGCCTCCACTCTCTTTCCTCAGTGACACCCCCCCCTCCCCCCCCACCATATTTAAAGAAAAAAATCCCACCTTTTTTTTAACAAAATTTTATTAGCTCCATGTATTTCTCCTCCTTCTACCGCAGGGGTATTAAATTAAAATTTAAGGAGATCTGGTCAGTAAAAGTTTCTTCCAATAGTGGTTCAAATCTCATGTTTGAACGTTGACTCCATCAGAGTGTCCCCTTACATTAGGTGTCCCCATCAGAATTCCCTACTTACGTGTCCACATGAGAGTGTCCCCTTACCTTCGGTGTCCCCATCCAAGTGCCTCCTTCATTAGTTGTCCCTAGAAGCATGCCCCCTTACATTAGATGTCTCCTTCAGTACTCCCTACTTACATTACATCACCTCTCCCATCAGTATTCTCATGGGAGAGGTGAAGGGAGCTTGAGGCACTGTACTATGCTGATACTGACTTGTATGTCCTTCAGCATAAGTGGGACTTTGAAAAAGTCCAAGGAGAGAAGCACTAAACTAAACATACTAATGAAACCAGTATCTGGTAGTGTATAGTGTTCTACGGTGCATCACCAATTCTGCCAGGACCCCTAAACCAGGAAAAAACGCCCCCCCCTTTACTCTTTCTAGCCTTTGGTTAAGAATTAGGAAGGATCTCGGTACTACGGCAGATTTAAGGGCACTGATGCACTAGGGAGGGCTTTAGCTATCTGCTTGCACCCCCCAAAACATTTAAAGCTGAACTCCGAGATAAACAAATATTATCTAAATACAAGAGGCATGAGCATTCTTACTTGAATCTTGGTGTGCTTTGTGTATTTCTTCCAGATCTGTGCAGTAATGCAGCGTGAAACTTTTCCTCTGTGCAGGAGTTTCCTGTCACACAGATTGGTCATTGCTGCTCTCTCCTTGTGTAGTGTGACTGGTCTTGTATCCACCCCCTTATGTAGTTTTCTGTAGCAGCCTATAGTGGTTGGACCTGTTGGGTCAATCCCACAACTCTACTCTCTACTCTACAGGCTGCATACAGCATAGTGATGATGTCACTTCTACTTTTATATTGTGATATCTGCAAAGGCATTTGGCGCAAACAAAGTGATTTTATATAGTTTGTGGCTATTGAGGAATATATATAAATGAAAGTTTTTGTGCCTAAGGTTCCGCTATAAATGTAACCCTTTTATTAATGAACCCGTATAAAAACATAAGTTTCAGCACTATGGAGAGCTCCAGCTGATACATTCACCAACCAGAGTTAGAGGATTACTAAAGGTTGGCTGTTTTTACCCTAATGCATTCCCCTACTTACCTGTCAGCATCGCTTGTCATCGCCACTGTTCCCCGAAGCGATCCTCCGCCTGAGCTTCCTAGTTGTGGGGGAGGAGATTGAGGGCAGAGAAGCCATAGGCTCCTTCTGCCGTCAAACAACCTGTTGGGCGGAAAGGAGGGGCATGACCTGCTGCAGTGCTGTGTGTGTCTATGGACACAAACAGCCACTTGTGGGCACAACCGAAAACGAGCAGGCACAGTTGCCTCCATAGCAGCCGCTTAGGTGATGAAGGCACCTGTGCAGGGGAGACCGCTGTGGGAAGCCACTAGAAAACGAGGAATTTAACATTTTTTATAAAAAACAACAAAGTATTTCTTGTTCTATGTGCCTCCTATTTATATAAATTTAAAAAAAAACACATTAAGCTTTTATTTTACTTTGAAGCTGCCTTTGTGGCTTACTGTACATCCATCATTTGCTGGACATTCACTGGTGGTCAAATCGGATGCATAGTGATGTTCAGGCAGGCCTTCTTTTAGCTTTCAAGTTTTAAGCAGACAAACTGTTCAAGCAGACAAACTTTCCAGTATCCAAGACTGGCAATAATGTGACCTACCCTTTGTTGCAGAACGTCTGTTGTGTCAGAAATGTCTTACTGTGCGATCTGCCAATTGTCCTTAATTAGTTCATTAGCACATTCCCAGTGAAGCTCATCAGATGTTGTCACAGGCCAACCACACCTTTTGTTTTTCACACAATTTAGGTATTCCCTCCTTGCCATCTTTGCATCTCTTGGCCCAGTGACGCATGGTGCTTATATCATCATAAACAACTTGCATATGTTGGTGAATTTTGATTAGAGCAACACCTACTACCCTCAGGAACTCAATCACAGGGTTCCATTTCATAGAGAGTAGCAAATCTACCATTTGCTTTAATGACCTGCCACCAACAGACTTGTTGTGGTATATCAGCGCTGGCATATGTTGACAACCTATGAAAGTAAAGGCATTCATTTTCATTTAACCCTTGTACGTTGTGTAATTGATCATTTCTAGTAAACAAGGCAAATAAGAACAAGATTCAGCTTGTCATGCAAAAAATCACTGAAAACTAAAGAACCTTCTTTGCTCATAGTAAAAAGTCAACTGCCATCTGTGAATTTTTTCTTGTGTACATACTGTATGTGAAATGATGATATGTTAAAAACTGCAACCTTTATGTTATGAACCATGAACAGTTTGTATATGCTTTGGTACAGTTGAATTAATTTATTTGATATTTTTTAACAGGTGCTGTCTTTTGTTAAGACATGGAAGATCCAAGGAAGAGCCCAGTGGAATATAGGAGTAAAGAGCAGCCAGTAAAGACCACCGAAATAGGGTCACGTTGTGTAGTTTTCACATATTATCAGGGGGACATTAATAGTGTGGTTGACGAGCACTTTTCTAGAGCATTACGGAATACAAAAGACCCACAAGACCTAAGTACAAGGAATAGAAGTGACGATTTTCTGCCAAAAAACAGTAAGTTTTGGAGAATGCTCATTTATGTTTTCTTTTCTGTAGTTGTATAGTGCCAGCATAATAAACAACACTTTACAAAGTACACGTCAGGCAATTCCTCAGTCTATTGTCCTCAGCATAATGAGAATAATGTGGTTAGATGGAAGCTTATATGTACCTCTTATTGAAGTGTGGGTACACAGACAAAGAAAAAACATAAATCTCAGCATGTATAGCATCCCTGGTGGCAAACAAAGCCCCAACCTCAGTACATCTATGCATAATCAGCTAAAGAATTAATAAACTTAAAGTACATAAGACATTTTCTTTCTTATGTAAAAGAGCTACCAGTACCATATAAAAATATGTAATAATACCCATAGTCCTTTTTGGGTCCCGCTATCCATTTTCAGTGAAAAAATCATTAAACTCAAAGTACATGTAACACTTTTATATTTACATAAAAAAGAGCTTTTCGTTCCATATAAAATATGTAATAATACCCATAGCCCTTATTGGTGTCTCCATAGATACTCAACTTAGCATGAAGCAATCCAGAGTACATGTATCACTATTATTCATATTTAAAAGGGCTATTAGTATGATGTATAAATATGTAACAGTAACCATATCTGCACTGGGCTTACGTTTATAGTTATATTTTCAAGAAACATGGGTGTCCACACATGTACAGATTGGGCTGCCCAACTCAGTTTGGGAAGGAACAACCTGGTGTGTAACAAATTTGGCAATAATGGGCCACATGTAACCAGCCCAGATATTTTTAATTGGGTAGGAGGAAATAGAAGTATTTGGGTGCCCATACACCTTACGATTATCGTACGATTTTCGTATGCGATCGACTTTTCGGCCGATAATCGTATGTGTGCATTGCAGTGTCAGACCGACAGTACTGTACAATCGGACGACTTTTGACGGTCGAGCATGTTTGAAAATGTTGCTAGATCGTACGATTGTCGTAAGGTTGCTGGCGTTTCCGTCCGTCAAAAGTCGTGCGATCTACACTGCGCTTGCGCTAACGAAAATACGGCAAATCAATTACCGCATTTCGTCCAGGTGCTTTTCGTTAATTACGGCTAAATTAGTCTTGCGATCATCGGGGCAGGATGGGGCTGCTGTCCGAAAATCGTACGACTATTCGATCATCGGACGAAAAGTTTTGTCCGATAATCGTAAGGTGTATGGGCACCTTTAGTAAGAGTATCACATTAGGATATGTGATCTGTCAAACCCACTGTAGGGGATTTTCACCATTGCAATCTGCAAAATATATAAGATGCTGGGTTCATGGGTTTCATTGTTACCCACCCAAAACAAAAATAGTTTGGGGTGAATCAGCCTTTAAGAAACACAGATTATCTGTCCTATTACTGTTTAATATATTTAGTATTTTGGCTTTTAGTCATTGGGAAGCCCCAATGGTATTGAATCCTGTATAATCCATGTTGCTAATTAGAACTGCCTGAAACCTACATGGGTTCACATAGTGCTGACTCCTAAAAGGTCTGTTCTGTCACCAGCAGTGGCTTCAGGAAACCCTCCTATTTGCCCTGAGTTGCCTGCTGTCATCCTTTGGTTGTCTTATTCAGTTAAAGTGACACTAAACTCAGGAGTTATATCTTACAAATGCTTTCAAGTACCTTAACTATTAACAGTAATGTATCTTATTTGTGTATAACTCAGCTGTAGATCCTCAAATCATCTCTGAATTGGTGCTGACACTGTCCTTCCTTCTGGGGGGTGTCTACTTTTGTTCCCCATGGTCCCTGTGTGTGTTCTAAAAAAGCCACCACTCCAAGCTCACTCTTGTGATGGACTGCAATCTCAATACAAATGAGTAAACTAAGCATGAGATTGTAGTCCATCACGGAAGCGGTGGCTACTTTACAACACAAACATACATAAGATACACAAATAAGATACTTGAATGCATTTTTAAGGTTTAACTCCTGAATTTAGTTACAATAATTCAAGGGACTCCAGTGTCCACAACCAAACATAGCATGTCTGCATGTGTTCACAATTAGAGTAGACTGTCCATGAAGATTTAGAAATCTACTATTTATTTTAAAAGATGACATTAAATGTGTACTGATCATGAATGTTAAAGCAACAGCTCTTACATTGAAAGTTTAGGATTGAAGCATCTATTTTCCTCCATTCTGGGAAATATATGTAGTTTCAAAGCAAAGATGCACAGAGAGCATTCTGTAAAAATTGTAACTTTATGCCCAGCTGAGCGCAGAAAAAACGAATTAATATAAGAGAGAGAGATATAGGGGTTGATTTACTAACCTTTTAAACACACCACGAACGTGTATACACCTCTGTAGTGTGTTCCCTCCCAGCATGATCTATGGGAGGAATCGAAACACCTTTGTAGTGTGTACACACCCAGCAGGTGTGTTGTGCAAAGCCCTGCAATGAATTGCAAGGTAATGTGGTGTAAATTAGCTCTATGTTATGTTGCTTGCGTTGATGAATGCAGGAATGTAAATGCATGAGCTAACCATTTTTGTCTAAACTGTGAAGCAGCATTATATATGCATCATGTGCATGATTTTTCCATATATGGCATTAGTGGAAATATGCTTTTAGAGACTTTTTGGTTGATAAATACGTTTTGCTGTGTGAAAATCACACGCACCTGGTGTGTGTGTGTGTTTAGGTTAGTAAATCACCCCCATAGTATGAAAAGTCTTCACACCACTGAAAAAAGTGTCAGGTTTTTGAGATGTAAAAAAATCAGACAGAGATAAATCAAGCTGAAATCTTTAAAGGGGGAAAAATAAAAAAACTTACAATAACGTGGTTGCATAAATATGCACACCTTTAAACTAATACTTTGTTGAAGCACCTGAAGTTTTGACGACAGCATTCAGTCTTTTGGGGTAGGAATCTAACAGCATGGCACATCTTGCCTTGTGAATCTTTGCCCACTCTTCCTTGCAAAAGTGGCCCAAATCTGTCATATTGCGAGTGCATCTCTGTCATATTGCACAGCCCTCTTCAGGACACCCCCACAGATTTTCATTTGGATTCAGGTTCGGCTTTGGCTGGACCATTGCCAAACTTTGATCTTCTTCTGGAGTAGCCATTACTTTGTTGATTTGGAAGTCTGCTTTGGGTCATTTGGGAAACTAACTATACACAAAACACGTGCACATTTTTTGTGCCAGGAATTCTGATATCATCTGATATCATAATGTGTATTTTCAGTAGTAAGATCAGTAGATAGATACAACAGTTTGGTGAGGGGGTTGTGACACCCCATCCTGACCCCTACATCACTAATGTATCCTTTTAGTTTTCAGGGACATTATTTATGTAGCAGCCCGGCAGAGGCACAGTGGGCAATGGGAGGACGCGGGCATTCAACACACCCAAAAGCATTGCAATCTAGCAGTGGCTGTAACTCTACCTTCTGTCCATGGCCGTTTGTGAACGGCCGGACGGACGTCTGCTAGGAGCGGGAGGGCGTCTTGAGACGTCCTGCCCCTCCCCCTTCTCGTGTGCGGCACTCAGCGCGCACACGAGAGGGAAAACTGTAAGCATGTAAACAGCCAGCGATGGCTGTTTACATACAAGCGATCAGGTGTCTCTAGAGACGCCGATCGCTTGCAGGAGCTGCGGGTGTGCGCCGCCCCCCCTCCCCCCCGTACCTTTGTCTGCTCGTCGCCGGTCCGAAAAAATAAAAACCCCAGTGGTGATTAAATACCACTAAAAGAAAGCTCTATCTGTCCCCAAAAAATGGTATGAAATTCATTTCAGTACAGCGTTGCATGACGGAATAAACATCAGTCAAAGTACCGCAGCGCTGAATACTGAAAAATGGCCTGGCCAGGAAGGGGGTGAAACACCATGGCCTTTAAGTGGTTAAGAAAGTGAAGATTCAATTCAACAGAAGGGCTGATGGTATTATAACTATATTTTCCAATCCTGTTTTCAATTAACAATTACATTTGAGATAATGATTTAAATGTAGAGTTGAAATCAAGCCAGCAAAAGTGAGCCAAACATATCCTCAGTAAACTGAAATTTTGCATTAGTACACTAAGCACTTAAAAAATGATTAGCAGTTGAACTGAAATGTAAATGAGGAAAAAAAATAAACCTAAAAGCATATGAAATAATGATAGATTCTTAGCACTATGACATGTATTAGCTGCTTAGTTATCAGATAACTATATTTTTTTTTTTTATCATAGCGGTCCTTGAAGTATATGATACTGCTGCAGGGTTTATTGTGTTTAGAATGTTGGAAAGCTTGGCCATTTTCTGCAGAGCTGATTATATTTTTGTGGAGAGTATGACAGAGAAATGTATGACACCAATGTACTGTTATTTATTACTTATCCACAATCCACAGCTCCAGATGGCCGACATTTAGTTATGCTTCCTATAGGCTTTTGTCATGAGACTTTGCTATCAATTGGGACATCTGTGGGAGATTAATTTAGTCTCAAAACCCATTAAATACCACGTATGCACATTTTCATATGCATAAAAATTATTATAACTTAGCAGGAGTTCCAGAATAAAGGGTAATACTTTACTGAGCTGTGTCAGGTCTTCACATTTCTTCAGATTTTCACAGTTGCTGCACTACATTTTTAAAACATAATTAAGCTCTACCTGCAATTTGCCTGCCCGGAATGGATTTCTAAGGAAAACAACAATCCTCTATGTAGCTACAATTGGAGTGCTGTGCATACCCACATACTGGTCTCTGTGGAGGAACTGGCTGTGCCATACATAGGTTTGAGAGCCCCTGCTCATAACTGGCAGTGAGCTGTTCAGTATGTATACTGTGTTTAAAATCTGCAATCCACACCTCCTGGATGTTTGGAGGGCTGGAAGAGAGGACCTGCATTCCCACAAAGCAAAGTAGAGATTTCCAACTTTATCAGAGGATTGTTGTTATATCTCTCTCTCTCTCTTATATTAATTTTCTTTTTTCTGCACTCAGCTGGCCAATTTGGAAGATTTTCCCTCACTTGCTGTCTCTGTGATGTCCATATAAGAAATGTGGGGAGTGCTCTGTCATTAGGACTTTCAGACACAGAACATTTCCTCAACAGGGACATAGAGGGCAATAAAAAAACTGATGCTCTGACCCCAACCTATGGCTCATGCTGCGCTTTAAAATGCTTGTAGAACTGGGAAACAAAAGCAACACAGAGCGCCTCCATAGTGTAAAACTTTTATTTGATGAGTACAACACGCAAGTGAAAATGTACTTACACGAAAGCCAATGATCATAAGCGTAAAAGGAAACGATAAAATATAAAATCTCCAGCAGGGGAAGTCTGAGGGGATCTCCAAATCAGCGTCCCGTATGTTTTTAAAAAAGGTCTACGCGTTTCAGGGGCACGCCCCCTTCATCAGAACCTGAGGTCTCTTGGTATTGCTTTTTTCAGTGTTGCTTGTACAACTGTAAGGATATAGTAACATTGATTTTATTATTCTCTCATTCAGTAGCACATTTAGATAAAACATAATAAACTCTTGTCTAGACACTCCAATATGTGTCTTACATACAACCTTTATTTGGTTTAAAATATGTTATTAGCCACTGATATGCTGTCAAATTCAACACTTTATTCATACAATGTTTAATCAGCCTCAGGAGACTGGACTGATATGTGTGTGCATGGGGGCTTCCCCACAGTATGAGCTCGTAGCAGTTAGCCGTTCTCACTAACCATTAGAGGGGTGTGTCAGCCATTGCACCAAACTTAATGACACATTAACCTGTCAATTAGCATTTCCTCTCAGGAGGCATGCTCATTAAATGACCTCAGGATCCAGTAATGATTTAGCCATTAATGGATCCTGAGACTTCCATAATGGAGGGTTTTTTTTATTGAAACCCCCAGACAATAACATCTGTGGGCTGTATTTACAATAATGGTACCCATGGGCCATTGCTATGGCAGCAGGATTAGAGGAGGCAGCACCAAACAAATTGTTATAATGTTTCCCAAATTTTGTGCCCCCTTTTGTTCACCTCTGGATATTGAAAGTAGAACAGATGCCAACACTTTTTGTTTCCTTTGGATAGAGTAAGGGAAGGTTATAACCTCTGACAGCTTTTTTTGCCATCTGTGTGCCGTGCCACTAGGGAGATTTCCCTTTACTTCCTGTATTATAGCCACAACAGGATGTGTGAGAAATGTCCTCCATAGTGAGTGAAATTCCTGGTGGTCGACAGGGTCACCAGAACTAGTGTCCCCACTGGAATATTTCCCATATATTCCTGTTCTTTCACTTTTACTCTCAGTGCAAACAGTCACCAGGACAAATAGAGGGCAAACCTCCCTAACGGGGACACAGACAGTAATAAAAACCTGACAGGTGTTCTAATTCCTCTCACTCTATCGAAAACAACAACAAAAAAGTTTAGGCTAAATATAAATAAATGTGCATGGAAGGTAGTGCAGGGGATGCTGAGAGGAGTTTGAAGGTTTGTTGCAGCTGAGGAAACATAAAACCATGTTTTCTTTCTTTGTTTAGTTGTCTATACCATTGAAAAGCAGTTCTGCATATTAAGAAGACCACAATGGCACATTCTAGAACTAGTTTTTACTAAAACAACCAGAAGAGATACAAAAACCCCACCGCCCAAGTAAAATATTTGGGACATGTCTCGGGGACCTTCCCAAGTGGTTAAGGCACACCTCAGGGATGCCCTCTCGGTATGGCTTCTCAATATGTGTTCTGGTGTGAAATACATTAAAGTATCCTCTTTCTGAAATGATGTAGTTTCGGCAACTAAAATTAATATTGCAGTTTCTGTTCTTGACCTTTCAGGCAGTAATGTGTTGGTAGAAGATTACACCTGGACAAAACCCTATCAATCCAACACCCCTGTACAGATGACATCTACTGTATTATCGCAGCTGGGCTCACCGTCTGAGCACTACCCATCCTCAGCAATCTACCAACAGCACCAGCAGCCAGCAGATCTCTGGCATTTCCACCATTTTGGACCCCCTGGCCATGCTAATTCTATGTATCATCACCATTCAGTCCCAGAGTTTCAGATGGTTCCAGGGCCTGATGGAAAATGTGGATCATTTCTTAACCTCCTGCAGCCTGAGAGATATTCAGGTCCTCTGCAGGAGTCAGCGTCAAAACCTGATCTCACATCTACAGCTACTGGGCCTCCTATATCTGAAAATGTGAATCAAAGAACACACGCACAAGCAGGTATGTTGTTGCATTTTAGTCTTAAAATTTCTGCCTGTTCAAAATGGGGATATTCATTTGGGTGAAATGTTAGTATGTTGATCACAGACTTTTTTACAACTGTGGACTCTGGCGGTAAGATACCTTGAGTTGACTTTCTTGGTCTCCAGTGAAAGTGAGACCAGCCTACTTTATTAAGACTATAACAAGAGGAGTGGTGAAGAAGACAAGAGCATAGGAGAAGAGCTCAGCACAGGAGAAGAAATCAGCACAGGAAAATAGGTCACCACAGGAAAAGAGATCAGCATAGGAAAAGAGATGAGTTTAAAATCCAGGTCAACTGTCTATTCTAGATGATTATTCTCCTTCTTAAAGCCTAACTTCATCTAAATTGTTATTTTTTTGTTCTAGGCAGATGGGAAAGAGTTAAAATTTCTGATCTGTTTAAAACTAGCAAACAGGGAAAGGTGCACATGGGCAGGGCAATAAAAATAGTACAACAGTGGTCCCCAGCACACTTTCAAGCTAGCCAGCAAAAAAGAAATCTGTTTAACTACTTTATTTTAACCCTTTTGTCTAAAGATAGATCTTCATTACAACTATATTTAACGTACAACTAAACAAGCACCAAATCCAGTTACTGTGATGCACACGTTTGATACAGTAAACAAAAATATTCCTTTACTTCCCCTGACTGAGCCAACTCCTTCATTTGTGTCTCAAATGCTCCCTCTCCCAGACACTGCAGTTCTCAGTGGGAGGGTTTTGTCAGCAGAGAAAGTGTCAAACCAAAAAGCAGTGGACAGGACTAGGTGTGGCCAGGTCCTGACTGACAAGCAACATACTTATGAATCAGTAGTGAGAATGCTGATAGCCACATCCCCTGCAACATCTTATCTCACTATAGAGGAAGCCGGCACAGCTTATATTCGGGAGCAGTGCAGCATTGTTGCCACACCATCATGGGCTGCTGCATTAGGTGGACTTCACTGGCATGCTTATCAGGTACTTGTAAGACTTTGCAGGGGATTAAGAGAAAAATGTAAGTGCAGATGTGCTTATAATTAAGTGCTGCAACACATATTTTATTTAATGGGAGGCAATACTTTACTTTAAATTCACATACTGTTGTTTGACTCACTACCTCTGCTGGAAGTCTGTTCCAAGTATCAACCACTACTACTTGAACTTTCCTCCTGCTAGTTTTGGGTCATGTCCCCATGTTCTTGATCTCAGCTTCATACTAAAAGTACTGCCCTCTTAAACCTTATTCACACCCTTAGTGTTTTTAAAGGTTTCCCTTTCCCTTCTTTCCTTTGATAGTAAAAATATTTTGGGGAATTAAAACATGATAGGTCAGCAAATTTCCTAATTGGAGTATCCCTACTCAGGAGGGAAGATATTGCCCATGGATCTAAAAAGAGATGCAAGAACCATCACCATCTGTCCAAAACTAATTTTTCTGTGGACCGACTTAAAGAAGAACTCCAAGAAAAATCAAAGCTTACCCTTGCAATGGAGCTACCCCCACACTACAAGGGTTAAGTGTGCATTTTGTCTAGCAGATTTACCTAGCTGATCCTTGGTGACTCCCGGCTCTAGACTGGTCCCCAGAACCTCTTCTCTCCTGGGCTCTGGTGGTCTAAGGACCACTGACATCATCCATTGATTTGTATCAGATGTAAGGACGCCGAGGGACATTCCACCATTCTGAGCAGAGTGGGAGAGAGGTGAACGACTGCTGCGAGACCAAGGATCAGGTGAGTAAAACTGCTTTATTTGAGCCCCCTAGACAAAACAAGCACTTAACCCTTGCAATGCAGGGGTAGCCCCACTGCAAGAGCAAGTTTTTTCCCCCAGAGTGCTTCTTTAATATACTTCTTCTGCAAAGCCTTGTTGAATTTACTCACTAAAAAGGTCAAATCAATAGAGAATAATGCATGTAATATCTTCATTTCTTTCTGTGCTAATTTTTACCACTGAAAATAGCTTTCAGCTCACTGAAGCTTTTATAACACAGAACACAACGCTGCATGCTTTATTTGATGTTATCTTATCGATTTGTGTGGCCATTTTTATGTGAAAGTCAATTAAGTAAAAGAAATTGCATGAGTTTTTGTCCCATAAAACACTGCTCGCCTGTGATTGTCAATAATTGTGAGAATCTATGAGGAACCTGCTGAGGGGAGCAGAATACGGAGCCATTGTGCAACAGAAACTAGGGATTCTTCAGAAAAATAACAATTCATGAGGGTCAGAGACTTAAGATACACAAACATTTAATACTATTTTAAAAATCATGATTCAGTATTGGGGCAATATTTATATGTATGAATAGAATGAGGTGAATGAAACATTGTTTGTTAAACTAAAGAAAGTTTAAATAATTCATACAACTTAGTGAATTGTCCCTTAAAGTATATGTAAATGCACTGCTGCTAAAGGACATTTTAATAAATAAAAATATGATTTGTGGCCCATAATTGCACTTATTTTTCCAAAAATCCCATTATTTGGTGGTCACATGACCACATAGCCTTTTATTAGGTTCTTATTCCACGTAGCGGGGGAGTGTAATTTTAGTAACCGGCTGACTGTTTGTAACATCACACACAGTGGAGAAGTACTTTCCCCATCTGTGTACCTTGCGCTCCAGAAGCATGCCTCTTCTGTGGTCAACGCTTCTACTGGCTGCGATTTGCAGGGGAAATGTAGGGAAAGCAGTCTGGGCTTGGCAAAAGGGCATATTGGGAAGGCAGGCTGTGATTTGTTGAGAAGGGAGGGGGTGTTGGGAAAGGCAGGCCGTGAATAGTGAGGAGCGTGTTGTTACAGGCAGGCTGTGATTGGTGAGGAGCGTGTTGGTAAAGGCAGGCTGTGATTGACAGGGGGTGTATGGTGAAAACAGACTACAGAGATGCAGGCATGTTGTGTGGTGGCATGGCATTCTGTAACTCTAGTAGGGAAACAGTGATACACAAACTGACCATGCCAGCACAGATCTACTGGTCAGATTGCAAAAGCAAAGAAGAGGGACTGGCAGGATCACTAGGTATTTCTGTGCACAAGAAGAAATAAATCGACGACAGGTTACTATTTATACACCTACATAGAAAGAAAGACACATAAAGTATCTGCTATAATAAATTTAGGAATAAAATATACTTTATGGGTGGTATCTAATAAAATACTACAAATGGACACTAATTCCAAAAATGGAAAACAATAAAATAAGAAGAAAAGTTGAGTTGTTACTGGAAACAATCAGGTTCTACTTTTCTTTTTATGGAAATAATAAGAATGTATTTGGCTGAAACAGGCAACAACCTCACTTTTCTTATTTTTTCTTCAGTTTTCATACCAATGGACACTTCATGAATGGCAGAAGTTGGGTATTTTAGTTTCTTGTATCTGGTGCAATTTTGATACCATAAGCAGATCAACTAACTGTATAACTAGGGATGCACCAAAATTTCGGCCTGCCGAACATATCTGCTGAAAATGGTACTTTGGGCAAAATGCCGCAAGTACAAGCAGTGCATTCATAGTTTATCTCTTTCCTGCTGGGTGCTGCTCTGTGTCCCCTCTGACGCTGAGCAGTGCCCAGCGGGGAGGAGAGAAACTTTCAAAAGGCCGAGCGGGGCGGGGAGGAGAGCATTGTCAGTGATGGTGTCACAGGAGGCCGAGCTCTACTCCTGTCCACCGTGACAGGCAGATTAGGATTAGAGAGCGTTGCGGAGGTTAGACAACTGTCAGCTGTCGCAGGAGGCCGAGCCCACCATGTGGGGGAGGATTCAGCTATGTCACAGGAGGCCGAGCTCTCCTCCCCATTCAGTCTCCTGTGACAGCGAGTCAGGATGGAGAGCGGTTACAAGCACTCAGCGATCAGTACTGATGGCTGAGTGTTTTTAAGTAATTGAGGACATAGTATGCTTACTGTGTCCCCAGTTATGGATGAACAGGAAGTGCTCTACATCACTTCCTGTTCATTCATGATTGTGGAGATAGTAACTCATACTATATCCACAATTTATAAATGTACAGGAGCACTCAGTATAGAGTTCATTCAAAACAGAGCCTGCAGAAAAAGAGAAAACATCTCTTTTTCTATTTCAAAAGGGAAATATCAGGGTTCTGTTTAGGCCCCTGATATTTCTCCAGAGCCCCTGACAGTAAAGTTAAAAAAATAATAAATAAAATATTCAAAACATTTTTTTTCAAAAAGGTTAGAAAGGTAGAAAGTGTACCCGTGAAATAAGAAAAGGAATACTTAACTTTCCTTTTGCCCACTCTATCAAAACTCTGCTACATTTGGTTAAAACTTTGAAAAGTGTATTTTGACTTTAAATAATTATGGCTGAATCTAGTGTTTTTCTGGAGTCTGCTCTTTTAACTTTCAAAATAAGAATGGAAATAAAACAATTCTTCCTGTAGTTTGCTGATCTGTCATAAGAATGAAAACACAATCTTATATTGCAAATTAGTGTCTGTAATAGTCTATTTTCTCTTTTTAGGTCTTCATGCTCAGGAGAGAAGAAAGGAGTTTTTCCACGCACAAGATAGAAGGAAGGATTTATATTTTTATTAAGTACTTATTTTTTCTTTGTAAAGCGCTAAGAAGTTACATTCTGGACATTTCTGTAGCATCCGCTGTACATTGCTGTTGTACATCAAAGGACATTTTAATGAGTTGACCTCCACATGAAAACGATGATTATTTTGTAGATATCTTCTTTAAGGATAAAAAAAATGTATTTCTTCATTTGAGAGACACTTTAATCGGTTTTTACTTTTTGAAGTGAGACAAGTGTTGTCATTTGTTATTATTTAGCCACTTGGGGGCACACTGTTCATCTGAAAGCTGTGGGTAAGCATCATTTTAAATAGTTTGTAGTATGATCATTAAACTTATGTTCTCTGTGGGAGTACTGACTACATTTAAAGGACCACTTTACCGTTTGCATGAATTTTAGCAAACTAAACTTATAACAATACTTTATGTACCCCAGATTCCTTGTGCTCTGTTAACAGCCCAGAGCTGTGGAGAGTGATTCATGTTTGTGTGCATATTTTTTTTTTTTTAGCTTTCTGCTTGCCTTAGCACATGCACCAACATCACTTCCTGTCCTGTTGGTCCACGGTTCCAGTCATTTCTTTCAGGTGTAAAGGAGAATGTTGTAGGTTTCTTTACTTATGCTCACCTGAGGCAAAACAGAGATGCTGACGAGCTCAAGTACGTTATTAATGTTCTGCTCTGGTTTTGATGCCTGGCTCTGGTTACCCCTGGTGATGGCCCTTGGGTACACTCCCACCTTTTGGCACCATCTATTACTGGCTGGATTTAACTGGTGTTATTTTCCTGTTGACTCTCTGACACCCCTCTGGCACAATCTCACTGTCCTGTCACTGAACCTGAGTAGACCCATACCTTATGGGTATATGTTTGCTTGCTGACCCAAGCAAGAAGAAAATATTCTGCAAATGTTATTGAGGCCGAGAAGGCAAGATGGCAACTTGAAAAATAATTACATACGGTAATTCAAGTGTTTAATACCAAGCAATGATATATTTTTGGGGAATTGAAAACTGCATTACTAACACTAACTGATAAAACAGGGTGTGAACAAAAACACTCTGAGGGGAATCTACCAAAATCTGGAGCAGACAAAATCTGGAGCAGTTGCCCAGGTTAACCAATCAGCTTCTCTGCAGTTTGCTCAGAGTTCTGAAAATTAAATAGAGAAGCTGATAGGTTGCTGTGCAAAGCTGCTCCAGATTTTGTCTGCTCCAGTTTTGATAAATTCCCCTCTCTATATTTTGAAGAACACTCTTTATAAAGGATTAATTGTGCAATTCTTACAGCAAATGTTTGGACATTTATCTGTCTTTATTTTATGGCATTTATTTTGAATATAATGTATAATAATATGCTGCTATCTTGGTAGACTTTAAATGTGACGGGCACATTTTTGTAACTCTCTACTGAATTGTATATTGTTAATGATGGGTGAACCCACTTTGAATGGTAGGTAAACACAGCAAAACTCCTTTAAATACCGTACAATACAGATGAACTAATGTCCAGCAAACATTATTTTTCGAGTTCAAATTGTACAACCAATCCTTTATAAATAAGCCCTAAGATGAAGGTTTTTTTTTGGCTGTTTGCTATTTTTGTGTAATGTTGTATTTCTTCTTTCAGTTCTGTTTGTATTATATTGGTAATCTTTATTTTTAAATTACATTTTACAGATAGGATTTTTTTTTTCTATAATATAATTAGATAATAAGAAAATGGCCATTGGTCATAAGACTATAATAAAAAATAAAGGAGTATTTTCAAATCAGGATTGAAAAATATTTACATTTTTAAACAGTGTATATAATGGGCATTTTTATTTTATTTTTTTATTATTATCTGCCTTTATATGTTGCTTTTAAACCAGACCCCTAAGGGGTCAGACCCCTTTAACAGACAAGGCTCCTATTGTATTGGAGGCTGCAATCATGTTCTAAGACATAGGGCTGATGTTGGTTTCAGAAAGAGGTGAGCAAAAAATCTGAAAAGTGAAATCAGTTGTTGTCCGGTCAACTTTTTGTTTAATTTGCAAGCCTCCACAGTTCACACTTTCCAAAATCAATGGAAGTACTTTAGCACATGGACACATCCCACAATGACCATGTGACATTCTCACAAAGTGGCAGATAGCAATCGTCAAGGACACTACAGCAGTGCACATTGAAACTGTATACACTAGACATGGGCATTTTGTTTAGTTCCGAATAGATATTTGTACGAATGTCATTAAATTCCAACATTCGGATCTGTCTGAATTTCATTCGAAATTAAACTAAATTGGACATGTAACTTTTCTCTGGCCAATCATATTTTTTGGGGATTTTGGGGTTGCATTACAGGCATGTTCCGAAAATTTGGAAGGATATGAAATCCGAATAAACAACTGAATTTAATTTTCAGATTCAAAATCCGAAAAATGAAAGCAATAAAAATCTGAAAAGAAACAATTTTTGTGTGGAGTTACATGTCTAGTATTACAATGCCCTCTGCCAGCAGATAGACAGAATGATTCAAGAAGCTAATGTATTACTGATACTCTAGCTGATACTCTAGCTGATACTCTAGCTGATACTCTAGCTGATACTCTAGCTTCCACTCTATCCCCACCACACTTTCCCTACAGGCACCAACAACCTCTCCCTTCACCATCTTCTCCATCAAACCACAGTGAAGCGTGAGAAACTCTTTGGTGGTCACATGAATCCCAGTAGCTGTACAGCAGGGGGAGGTTAATATAGATGGGGGCTTACTATACAGCAGGAAGCAGTGAGTACAGGTGGGAGGTTAAGCAGAGGTGGGGTGCCTGCTTTACAGCAGGGAGGGTGAGTGCAGGTATCATGCCCTAGTATACAAGGGGAACATAGTGAGTATAGGTGGAATGCTCATTATAAAGCAGGGGTTATAGAGGGGATACCTCCTTTATAGCTGGGGTGCTGTCAGTGTGTATGGAGCGTTTACTGGGGTACCTGGTGAGCATAGTCTAATATAGAACAAGAGGGAGGTGACTATAGGTGGGTTGGCTACTATATATTAGGAATGGGGGGTGAGTATAAACAGGTTGCCTACTATATAGCTTGAGGGGTAGTGAATATAGGCGGGTTGGCTATTATACATCAGTGGGGACAGTGTAGGTAGGGTGCCTAAGATTCAGTAGGAATATTGCCTATTATACTGCAGAGGGGTGGTGAGTATAGTAAGTATGCCTGCTAGGGGGAAGGGGGGGGGGGGCTTAATATAGATTGGGGGCCTACTATACAGCAGGAAGGGGGGGGGGCTTAATATAGATTGGGTGCCTACTATACAGCAGGAAGGGGTGAGTGTAGCAGGGTTGCCTGCCATGCAGTGGGAGGGGGGAGTGTGAGGAGCAGTTTGATTATGGTTTGGGGGTTAAATTAAGGATAAGGTTTAAGTGACACTAAACTCGAGTTAAATATTGAAAATGCATTCAAGTACCCCAACTATTATCAAAATTGCAATTTATTTGTGTATCACTCGGCTGTAGATCCTCAAATCATCTCTGAAATGGTGCTGACACTGTCCTTCCTTTTTGGAGGGTGGCTACTTTTGTTCCCCATGGACCCTGTGTGTTGTAAAGTAGCCACCACTCCAAGCTCACTCCTGTGATGGACTAATTTAGTTTACTAATTTGTATTAAGCTTGTAGTCTATCATGGGCGTGAGCTTAGAGTAGTGGCTACTTTACAACACACACACAGGGACTATGGGGAATAGAAGTAGCCACCCTCCAGAAGGAAGGACAGTGTCAGCATTAGTGATGAGCCGAACATGAATTCAGAGATCATTTAAGGATCTACAGCCTAGCAATACACAAATAAGATACATATTTATTAATAGTTAAGGTACTTGAATGCATTTATAAGATGTAACTCCTGAGTTTAGTGTCACTTTAAGGGTTCATTTTCATGGTTAGATTAGAGGTTAGGTTTCAGTAATAGGAAATTACAAATTGAGGTTTAATGCTATTAGGTAGAATAAATGTTAAAACAAAACTCTTTTTTTTTATGCCTCATTAGCTTTAATCCAGATGCTGACAAAATCAGTAGAAACATAGCTTTCTATAATCTGTGATGTGCTGCATACCCAAGCTCTCATTTTATGGTGACAGGTTCTCTTTACCTGCTGAAATGACACTTAACAGGAAACACTTGCACAGCTAAATGTAGGATTTGGTTTCTAAAGCAAGTCTGATGATGAATGGACCTCAGTTTTGCAGAATGACTACTCTACATTCTCTGAAGTTGTGTATCTAAAAACAATCCCACATTTTTTCATTTAGTAGGAAGCTCCTAGACACCTAGATGTGTTCACGATGTTCAGCACACTTATTTTAGAATCCTTTCTATTAGTCTGACATGAAAACGGCTAGATGGCTGTGTCATCACCAGTCCAATGGGGATAGTTAAAATGTTATTATCTGACCTTTTAAATTACATGTACCATGTAATTTCTCATCGTCACTTGTGCAGATTCCACACAATGTGCATTTATGTTACAAATGAGTATGTGCTACTAATTCATCATCTGACAATCTTCTAGCACCCTGTATGTCCCTGTAAAATGAATCTACAAAGGTTATCACAATTCTGAGGCATTGTATTACTCTAGAAAGTCACGGTATAACTTTCTCACTAGCGGGTATTACTTTTAATGGAAGTGCATTAGGAAAAATTTTGTTAGAGAAAAAATAGGGTTATAATTGCATCAATTGTTTAAATGGTGAAGAAAGTTAAGGTGAAGCCAGTTTCCAAAAACAATTAGATAGACCATTGTGCTGTCTTGCTGTATCAGGATACCAAACTGCCCTAGGCAGTTCTGAATGATATCCTTTGTACAAACTCTGCCACTTTTATCATACACTTATAGTATAAATTATGTTAGAATACATTACTGGAGAAAGCAGGCAGGCTGATTTGTATTTACAACTACTTTTACTGGTGCAAACATCCAAACAAGACAAAGGAGATGTTTTGTATTTATTGAACTATAGGGATTCTTCTGACGCGTCTTAACTAGAGATGAGCCAGGGCTTAGTGAGAACCCAGTTCACATGAGTTGACCCAAGCCCGCTCAAAACTGTGACACTCCCCATTATCATAGTTTTGGGCGTGTTTGGGCAAAAGCAGGCAAACTGGGTTCACACCAAGCCCAGACTCATCTCTACTCTTAACATCCCCTGCAACCCCTTTGACCTACAGTTCTCTTGCTGAATTTAGTAATTTAGTAACCATTGTCCAGAGGTGGTCCGAAGAGGAAAATAAGAAAAAAAATTAGGAAAAATTTGATCACAGTTTGTACACATTGAGGCATGCCACCTGTACCTTGGGCACTG